GCCTGGCTTCCCCTACAGGCCCAGCACCTTCAATGGCCACGGCTACCACCTCTTCCAGGCCATGCAGTTTGGCATCGAGGAGATAAACAACTCCACCGCCCTGCTGCCCAACGTCACCCTGGGGTACAAGCTGTACGACGGGTGCTCGGAGTCAGCCAACGTGTTTGCCACGCTGAGCACGCCAGGGACGCGCTACGTGGAGAGCCAAGGAGACCCTGCCCACGACTCCCCCGCGATTGTGGCGGTGACACCAGCAACTATGTTGCCACCACTGCAGCCCTGCTGAGCCCCTTCCTGATGCCCCTGATAAGCTGGCGCCCTGGCAGTTCGCTCATCTCCCCTCTTGCCAAGTCCAGTGTGGACTGGGGTGGGTGGGCAGGAGCTGCCGTGCCTGAGGCCAGCCTGGACTCCTGGACCTCCTGGGCGGTCACTGCCCATTAGTCACCTGCCTGGCATTCCTTCCTGTCCAAGCGCCGCTTCCAGGTCTCCCTGCCTCAGTGCTCACTGGAAAATCCATTCTCCTCGGAAATTTCTGCCCTTCTTTCTCCTCCTGCTGTCCTATCACCTTTGTGCAGAACACCCTTTGTTTCCCGGCCCCCCAGACTCAGGCTCAGAGGTGTGGCATCTGTCCCTGTGTGGGCCAGCCCCGTCCGTCCCCTACTCTGCTCATCGACCTCTCTCTGGGCCTCCTCCCCCTCCCACACGCTTGCCCGTCTGCCTGTCCTCTACCCCCCAGGCGCTTCTCCTCTCAGACCTGGCTGACCCTGCCCCGCTTCCATGCAGGCTTCTCCGCAGAGTCCTCTGCTCCTGTTTGCTTCTCCCTCTTTGCCTTGACTCCTCCCTCCGCTGCCCTGGACTCTGCCCTTCTAGCCGGTGCTGGAAGGTGCAGCTGGGTAGGGACTGGACGTGGTTCAGGTGGCCAGCCCGGAGGTGGAGCCCAGCACCGTCTTGCTCAGGTGGGCCGGTGCAGGGCCCAGTAGGTGGCCTTTAATCCATTTGATCTTTTTTTTTTTTTTTTTTTGGGCCCATGCTGCTCAGCATGCGGAATACCAGGGATCGAACCCATGCCCCCTGCATTGAGAGCGCGCAGTCTTAACCACTGGATGGCCAGGGATATCCCTCCATTTGACCATTTTGACACTTTCCCTCAGCATTTATGACCCTTTCACTTGGGGCACTTCTTTCTTGGTCTCCTTTAGAGAATTCTGCCTCCCCCACCAGCCCCCATCTCCTCTGAGAAGGCAGTGACTCCCTAGGGCAGACCCCTCCCCTTCCCAGGCAGGCCGAGGACTGGGCTGAAATTCCTGTCTCCACCTTTCTTCTGACTCCTGAGCACCAGCCTGATTTCCAGTTGCTCGCCCAGCGTCTCCACTTCATGGACCCAGCAGGCCCCCAGATGAACTTCCCTCCCCACGTACCACAAGCCTCTTGTCTTCCTGCATCCCCTCCCCGGCCCATCTGGCAGAGTGACTGTCTCTAGGGAAGCCAGAAACCCTGCAGTCCTACCTTCACTCCCTTCCCTGACCCTACATTTAGCTCATCTCCACGGCCTCTGCCGGGGGTCGGTGAGGGAGGGGGCCCTCACTGCTGCCAGCTGTCCCTTCTTCTCTATGCCACTGCCGCAGCTTTAACTGACCGCCCTCCCCTCTCATCTAGATGATTCCGTCAGGTCCTAGGAGTTCTCTGTGACTCTGGCCTTGAGCCTTTTTTCTGTTGCTGTTAGTTCCCTGATCAGGGATTGAACTTGC